GGCAACTATTCTACTGACTGCTGACTTTAATGTTCTACTGGATACTTAAACCTATATGTAGATGGTACACACCCACTTAACAAGTCCATTATACTTAAAGAAACAATTTTAAAAATAAAAACGTCAGTAACGAGTTATGAAATTGCGTGGAATTGTAAAAAAAATTCATAAAACTGCAACGAATATGCAATCACATAAAATTTTACTGAGGTAACAAAAATAACTTTTTGACGTGATTTCTGGTCACAAATGCCACAAATGTGAATGTCAAGTTATTGCACTTCCACTAAAAAATTCCAATTTTTACCCGATTCAAATGTGAATATTATAATTTCATTTTATTGCTTTTAAAGGTCAATAATACTTCAAGGACTTGTTTTAGCGATTGAAAAAATTTTTATGTATAGAAAAATTAAAATTCCAATTTTATCTTAGGCCACCCGAATATTGTAAATCGGCTTTTTAGTTATAAAGGACACGAAAGCTTCAACGACTAGTTCTTACGATTGTTAAAATATTTCTATAATAATCAAAATAAAAATTTATAGAATATCGATCGGTTTTACGGCATTATAAATCTCAAATTAGTGCGGAATTTGTGTTGATATGATTATCGGATAATACTTTTTCAAAGACGGCAGTGGCAAAGCAAGCAACCATTAATCAGGTGCATTATCAGGCTATGATAAACGATTTTTTGATAACGATTGTTTGAGAAAATCGCATGGAGAACTTTTATATAATGGCACACTATTTCATACAGTTCGTGCTACACCCGATTTTTCAAAGCCATTGTTCCCAGGATGCTTGATTTTAACAGGATTTGACACCATTAACCTTTTTTCCTTGATGCTACTTACAGTGAGAGGACTATATCAACAAACCTGGGACGCTCGACGAAATTTTGGGAATAAATCTGCCAGGAAATAGTAATGGGCACACTATGCCCTTGGAGCTTAAATTTAAGGAATAAATTTGCCAGAAAATAGTAGCCATTGGACGCTAGACGAAATTTAGGGAATACATCTGTCAGGAAATAGTAGCTATTCGCAATTTTTTCAAATTTTTTTTTGTTAGGTGGCTCCACCTAATATGGCTCACCTCGTATGTTTAGTTTACCTAAAAAAAATATTTAATAAATTTGAAATTTAAATTTTAATGTTATTTTATTTATATTTGATTTACTTATTTAAATCTACGAGTATCAACAAAATATTTTCTGGATTAAAATGTAATTCTATCAGATGTGCAATAAATAGAGTATTTATTTGTAATAATATTTATAAATGATATTTGATTTTCGCTCAAAGAGTTCATTACATATTCATACCTAAATAATAAAAATATTTTCATATAAGTAGTCTTAAATATATGTATATATATGCATATATGTTACATCTATTGTTTTCAGAAATAAAATTTTGAAAATAAATTCCAAAAAATAGTTATTTTTTGTCAAAACTTGCCTATTGTCAGGGATTTATGATTATTGTTAAAACTATATGAAATTGATTAAAAATTTTATATTCCATTCAAATGCTGAAATAATAAAAATATTTTAATTCTAAATAAAATTTTGCACAATCACATTTGTGCAACGTACCAAATACATCCATTTTGTGTCTAATCGGCTCAAATGTGTGTAAAATTTGAATATTTCATGATGTAAGCTGCATGGTAAGCCTGCAGGCACCAGAAAAGTATTTGAATTATGGCATGAATTATGAACTCCTTCCACTTAGCACATCAAATATGTGCTCAGATAAGTGGGCTTAATTGGAAGAGTACATGTACAGAGCATATTCATACAACTAATATTGGGCAAAAATAGAGAATTAGTTTAATTAAAGAAAAAAGGGTCATTACTTTGCTTTTACATCTCACATCAAAAATCTTAATAAAATAAATATAAAATAAAAATACTTTTGGTATCTTATTTCTTGGTATGTTGAAGGTACTAAGTAATGTAATTAAAATTTCTGAAGAATAAATTGAAAATAATAGTTTCAGTAATTATTGAAATAAATATTTACCGTACTTGTACGAAACTTATTTAGAATATTGACTCTCTATTAAAAAGTTTGATGTTTTCGGCCATTACGAGACTCACTGTTTAAATTTTGAGCCTTGGCAACACTAATTGTAATCAGATGTCGTCTGACGTTTCCTTGCGAAAATTTGACATTCTGTAACATAACCTACCTGAAACTTTTTGTCAAAAGAGCGTAACGAGAGAAAACATTGGTGCGATGATTTACGAGTATTTCCCATAACAATACGAGTATTACGAGTTTCTACGTGGATTTTCAAGACAAGAGTGCTTCGATCAATTTTTTTTCCACATTAAGCAATGAAATTCCATCCTTTCCCACTGAGAAACGCTGGTACAATGATTTTAAACGTGTCCACACTTGGCTCACTGACGAAATTCGTGAAGGTTATCCAAATTCCGTTGCCAGTTGTTGATACAAAAACTGATAATGCAAGATCATTATGAGGGATTGAGGGATTCCTTGCTTGAGTGCCACCAGTATACATAAAATATTGCACTATCATTTAGCCATGAGAAAGATTTGTTCTCGTTGGTTCCCATCCTTTATCATTTGACAAAATCTCAAAAAGATGCTAGTATCGATTGGTGCACACGAATCCTCTAATTTGTGGAATACAATGGGAGTGCTTCAAAAGACGAGTACGAGTATGTGTATGAGTATGAGCCGGAACGTAAACTGTAGTCGACTGTATGGATGTTTAAGAGCACTCAAATCTAACTAAAGTTGTTCGGGCTCGTCGCACTTCGAAATAAAAGATCGCTTTATTTTTTCGGGAAAACTGATCATGTGGCAACTATACCATTACAGGAATGTAAAACAGTCAAATCCGAATGGTATATGAGTACAACCATTTGTTTGCCGGAACTGATATACGGTATGGACATCAATTTGTAGTTTATTGATTAAGTTATTTAACTCATACACCACTAGGAAGAAGTCAAAAAAATGTCGAATCGTCGGTATTATTAAATGAAAAAATATTGAAAATTACAAACTTCGGGTTTCAATTTCTCATATACTTATTCACTAAAGCCTATTATAAATTTAAAAACTTGTGATTAGACGAACTTGCAAAGTAAAAAAGGCCCACTCTTTATCTCATTTTAGAACCATCCATTAAGAGATGATAATCTTTATTGGCTGTGTTAAATCCTTATTTCCACTCACCTCTTGATGGAAATAATATATGAGAGAAATTGATTGATTCGCATGCAGTAAAACAACTCTCAATATAATGAAATCATAATATATGATCGTATGATATATTATAATGTCGCAGAATTGCCCAACTATAAGCTGAGTTTTCCAACTCTTCTTAATGTGATATGAATTGTTGCATATCTTTAGGGGCGAAAAAAGTCATTTTCATAATTTCATTCTTATTTAATTGCCTATTTATAGGGATTGAAAGCAGTATTTTATTTTTTCAAGCATAGTAATCATTTTTTTAGTACTCGTGGTAAGGAATAATCAAGGCAAAAGTGACAGAACAAATATATAATATATTAATATAGATATATAATTTTTTCTAATATTATAATAGTGTTTCAAATATTTCTTTTGTTAAACTCTCAGTAACAGGAATAATGCAACTTTATGATATTTAAGCAATATTTGACATAGCCAAGGTTTGTACTTTAACCTATAAAAAAATACTTTTTCAACAATAAAATAAAATTTATAAACTCTTTTTGCTATTTGAATGCAGTGGAAGTTTCACTATTTAGTTGGTCTGCAACAAATCCACATTTTACGATATTTCTCGTTTTAATTAAAAACTGCAACAAGCACTCAACAAATAATTCGGTTGTTTTGGAAATAACAAAACCGCTTATGTTTTTTAATAATTTTTGTGCAATAAAAACTGTTGAAATTGCAAAAACTTAATATTAAAATATGTAATAAAAATGCGGTATTCGCGAAATGGTGAAATTAGCTCTAAAACCTCTGCAAACCTCTGCAAATTATGAACAACATTAAAACCAGAGGAGGAGCATATGTATGCGCCACAATCGAGGTGGCACATTGTTAAAATCACAAAATTTTATGTGAAATGAAACAATTTTGTACTGTGAATTTGAGAATTTTTGCAATTATACAAAAAGTCCTATAAGAATCCGAAATATTTACAAACCAACAGAAATAACAGACTATAATGACATTTTTTTTAATAAGGACATCGCGATTTGAAATTTTGGTATACATAACATACTTTTAGGTAATTTTTATAGTTCTTCTAAGTGCAATGTATTTGCAAGGTTATATATAGTACAGGGTTAGATCCTTAAAGTTAGCATCATATACATACATCTAATGTATTTTGCTTTGCTATGTATTTAACTGTAAAGTGTTTAAATTTTCTTTCTAAGATTCTTATATAAATACACTAGAAATAGCTCCTTCACTTCTTTTTCTCCTACTCCTTTATATCTTTTTCTAAGCTCTTAATTTTCTCAAGTGTTTTTGAAGTTTAGTGCCATCAAAATTTTTAATTTTTCAACATAAAAACGAATGCATAACAGCATTACGTAGTTTTTATTAGTTGTATACTAGATATACTGTCAAAGTAGGGAAGACATTATCCCCTAACTGCCCCTTGAATACGATATTGCTTTCTCATTTCAAAAAATTATCAAAATATAACTTATTTTATTTTTCTGTGAATGCATTTGTATTAGCATTAATTTCTTATTAATCTATTTAAAGTAAAAATATATATATAAAATTTAAAAAAGTAAATATATAAAGTAAATAGTAGTAAATATACACCAATTTTATTTTTATTAATCTATTTAAAGTAAAAAAAATATTTACAATTTATAGTTTTTAAATATAAAGTATAAAGCATTTCAACCGTTTTAGCTTATATTAGTGTCAATTAAAATCTGTTAAACTTATGTTATATATAAAATTATTAATAGTAAAAATTTACAAAAAACCTTATGCATAGCTTTAATTTATTTTAAAATATAATTTTATTTATGCTTTTCTCTTTAGAAATAACTTCTGATATGAATCTTAAAATTCTTCCTCTAGAGTGGAAGTGGTTTCTTTCTCTTTCCAAATCAAGTATATCTTCTTTAATTATGCACGACAAGCCACATAAGTAAATATTGCGTTTATTTGCTTTTACCAATGGTGGCTACTTTAATTAAAATTCAATTTATTTAAGATTTTTTCAATCATGTCGATAATGAGAAGAAATTGTGTAATTTCACAGCGAGTAAATAGAATCGTGAAAGGGAAGTAGGAAATGGAGAATAACTTCATTTCCACTTTATATAATGCAGCGACTTGAAGCCGCGCATAATGACGTATTCAACGTAATTAAATTTGTTAACGCCATTTTCTTTATTTGCCATCTCAGCCGAGTACAGCTGCCATATTCACGGTCATACTTTAGCTGCAGTTGCCATCACTGCTGTAGTTGCCATCACTGTTGCAGTTGCCGCCATTGCTGCCATCGCGCCATTGCTGTATTTGATGCTTCACAATGGACGCCAAGGCAGTGGTAGCAGCAATGGCAAATCAATCTGTGCGGGCAAAATTGAGCAAAATAAAATTCAATTATCGCGTACAAATTAAACTGCCACTTCCGGTTTAGTTGACATTTTAATCAATGCAAATGGCAACCGTCCAGTTTGCAGGAGCAGCTCTACAGCGAAAAAGTGAACGCGGAATGAAAAAGTTGAATCTAGTACACAAAAGCGCAACAAATTAGAAATCAATGGAAGCGCCCTCAACGAAACGTGCCGTAGCATAATTTAACGCAGAGTTGCAAGTGTTGGTGAAAATTAATCAAAAAAAAAAAAGTAAATAAATTATCCTTGCTGTGCTGCACTTAATTATGACAACTTTTTCTCTTCCAACTCGCACCCATTTAACGGCTGATCCATTTATTTATTTTACAGTCTTCGGAGCCTTCGGTGTTGCTGTCGCAACCATGGAAAACTATTAAAAACTATGTATTTTTATTTATGTCTTACATTAATATTCAATAACAAATTATGAGCATGTGTCGCTCCTTCACGAACAGCAAATGCAGCGTCGCCATTTTGTTGCTGATATTGTTGCTGCTTCCGGTGCTGCTGTTGCAGATAAATTACGCTGATTACGCTTAAATTGTAATCATCCTTGCCATTGCTTACAATATGCGAACAATTTTTTAAAGCACTGAAGTTGCTGCTGCTGTTGCTGTTGCTATTGCTGGCAATGTTGCCATCATTATTGATAATGTTGTTGCAATATTGTTGGCTAAAAATCTCTTGCCATGTTGTCGTTTCCATTGAGTGCACAACTGACCTCATTTCTTGATGTTGTTGTGTTTGTTGTTGTTGTTGTTCTTGGCATTCGATATCATTTGTGTTTTGGTTTATCACTTCCGTGGACGTTATTGCATCATTGTTGCTATTATTGCCGCCACTTAATTGAGTTTCCAACATGAAATCTGCACTTTCAGCCACACTTCCCAATAGCAACGCTGCAGTTTGTATGCAATCCTTGCTATAAGAAAGAAAAAAATTAAAAAATGATAAAAAAAAAATCGGAAAAAATTACTTTAGTTAAAGCAAAGCTGCACAAAGGACATACAAATACATATAAATAAACTGACTTAGCTATCGGTATACTTGGTATACTTTGGAATGAAGTTGCCAAAGCAAGTGTATATTTAGTTTGAAAAATGAAGTAGTGTCAACTCTTAAGTATCACTTCCATCGTTTCAAAAGTGCAAAATGAAAATCTTTTGATCCTTCGCGGATATCTTTTAATTGAATATATATACACATATTTTTTCTTGACTATTCTTTTATTTCCGATTTAAGTGCTTCCTTACATTTCTTTCACTCACAACGTATTCAATTTTACTTACCCTAACATTTTTATTCTAATCCAGCATTCCTTGCTACTGCAATTGCGATGTGCCATCACTTTGTCATCAATTTTGACACTTTCATCTTCATCTTCAGCTTTGTCAGTTTCAACATCTGTTACTCCTTGACACGTATTCTGTCCAGCGTTGTTGTTG